ACCTCCTTCTATCTCCACTTTATGCACCATTCTTAGTGGCTCCAACTTATTTTATGTCTTTTCTACAATTAAGTCGCAAACTCCTTGAGTGCACGATGTGTCTCTCACCCATATTAATATCCTAATGTCCAAACTGTTCCTGACACACACTTTATATATAGATCACTAAAGGAGAGTATGTAGAACTCTCCAGAACTAAGCAGCCATTATGCCTCTGAGCAAGATTGACCCTATCGTAACCCAGAACCAACATACCTCAGGATTAGTAAGCTACTATACTCCATTTTCCAGCTTAATTTTTCATGTCCAAGCTTTCCATGGAGTGACCACACTCCATTGCTCCTGGAAATGTTTCCCGTCTGAATTCCGTATTAACCACCTCCTATACTCTGGTTGCTCGTCTCTGGTCTGCCGTAGCCCTCACACTTCTGCTTGCGCTTCGATATGGCCAATTCTTGGTGGTGTTCTTGACTTTCTTTCACCCCTCTCACCCGCTCACCAAAGAAAAACAACCCATGTCCAAGTCCAAAGGCACTGTCATAGTGACTGGTTCTACAACTACCTCCAAAATAACAACAGCGTATATAGATACGTAGCTCTACCCATCCTCTTCCCTTAGGTACCAGACCAATGTATTCAACTGCCCACAAAGACATTTCCACATACATATACCATTGGTGTTCAGTTTCAGTATTTCCAAGTCGAATTCACCATCTTTTCTCCATATCTGCTGCCATCAAGCCATTTCTGACCCCGAGGATAGAGTACAAACTGCCACTGAGGTTTCCAAAGTGATAATCTTTAAAGTGTTGAAATCGTTGCCCCCCCCATATCCTCTGTAATTCAATTAGTATAAAAAACTTCTAATTCTGTGTCCTATAGGTCTCCCTAATCCATCCTGTCACCTTCATCTTTGATATTACCAGTTTCCTTTCAAGTTTTTGCCTTCTGTATGAATTACCTTTCTAATGTTAGATAAAATCTAAAATCAGATCTTCTGTATAGCAATATTAGAAAAGCCTCCCTTTTGTCTTCAAGTTAAAATCCAAATGCTTACGTATCTCTTACAAGTCTCTTCATTTGTCTGACCCCAGACAACATCTCTCGAGTGAACTGAGCAAAAGATTAGCAGATCAAGTCTACCAACAGCCTGCTGGTCTCCTTGAGAATAATAGGCTTCTGAAAACCCCACAGGACACAAGGCTACTCTGACACTCATGGGGTTGTTATGATTTGGAATCGATTTAATGGCAATTGATTAGCTGATTCATGTGTTTACTCTTCTCGTTCTCGAGGGCTGGAGCTATTTCACTTCATCTTTGCTTCTGTTCCATGGGGCATTGCATAATGCATTTCACTTGTTAGGTCCTCGGTAAATATTTGTAGAATGAATTATTGAATAAAAGAAATACGTTTTAAAAGTACCCTAGATATCCTCTTTGAGTTGCTAGTCGCTTGTTTAAAAAAACATCAGCTTCACAGGCGGCTCATTTTATTGTTTCAGGTGCTTCAAAACATAACTCAAAGAAAAGAATGAGTTCATCAGGTTCTGTGTTCAGCTCGAGTATTGGTTTATTGATCACAGTGCTACTGACTTATCCTGACCACCCTGTTTAATAGTGTTTATAAACTCTAGCTAAGAAGACCCTGATGAGTCATTAGCTTGTTTTCTCATTGGAATTTTTAACACTTCAGTGACTCTATTATGCAAACAGCCCATGCCTTCTCAAGGCACTGGAGAGAATGCCCAGGTGAGGTGATTTTTGAGCAATAGAATCTTTGATTCTAATCTAATGAATACATTAACAAGACCTGAGGATTAATGAGAGCTAGAAGTCAGCATTAAAAATAAATGCAATTAAAGCATGAGTGCTCCATCCAGTTTAAGGGGTAAAATATGTTTCCTTTTTGACAGCATTTTCATTGCCTACATCATTTTTCCGAGTGAAATAGAACTTCATAAATGCTGGAGTCATCATTGACACTTCGGTAACTGTTTTATAAACAGAAACAAACAAGAGTGGCTTGGTCTCTGACAGTGCTTGAAGTAGCCTACTTGTGGTTTAAATGCAAATGTATAAAGCGATGAAAGGTGAAAGCAATTATTTAGCTTTGACCCACCTCAAGATAGACAGCTGCCTACCCAAATGTTACCCTAGCCAATCGCATCTCTCTGATGTCTACTCCGCTGAGCACCCATTTTCAAGGTGGACTGGAATCCTCCGTTAGGATTAAGTGTGAACTGTCGAAATTTGGAATGATAACCAACAAGACACCCATTCTTTCATTTATTCACTTACATATTTTTGAAATCAGTTCAAATATTTGAGTATAATATAAGCACTATGATGATGTGTTAGTCTGTGTACTTTAGAGAAATAAATCCACAGAAACTCATATGCATAAGAGAGAGTTTTATATATAGGCTAAGTGCATATCAAGAAAACATCTCAACCCAGTGCTGCCCAAGCCCACAAGTCCAACATTAACCCTTATGTCCAACACCAATCCACAAAGTTCTCCTCTATCTCACAAAACACACACTATGACGTCAACTGCAGGAGAAAAGCCAATCAGTGAACATGTAAGCATTTCAGCACTGGTCAGGGTCTTCTCCTCAGAGATGTCTTGCAGGAAGTGATCCTTGCCAGCTGAAGCAGGTAACTAGCTAAGGTAATTGCACCCTGGTCTGAACATCACAAAGCAAGAGACCCAAGAACTAGAAAGGTGAGGCTCACTGAGTCATTTATCCCTCCGCCCTTCAATTAACCCCACATGTGTTTATCGGCCAGGGTTGCACAATAAACTACTTCAATCCACCCCTTGCCAACTTGGCACATGTACATAATTCTTTAGCCTCACAATTGCAATTAAGTAATACCTACACCTTAATCCTATAGTCCTGTGAATATGTTCCCCAACCTATGAAAGTTTGTAAGCCAACCACTTCATGCCTTTATCCCCCCAATTTTGGGTATCCAATATACTGCCCACTTACATCAACCCAGTGCTCTGAGGAGACAATCATATTTTTCGACATGAAGAATCTTCATTACAGTTGGAACCTTGTGAAGTCTGATTCATAAGCAAAGTCAAATCTGGACAGGCCATCCATAAAGTCAGCAACAATATGCACCAGTTCACAGGCTCAAAAGTCTCCATCTGGTCGGGTTCTGATCAACTCAATGTGGGCTGCCTCACTCAGCCTCCACAGGGTGCCCATTCGTCACCTTATCTTTAGACCATGGGCTCTCACCAATACTCAACAAGCCTAGCCCCCTCATGCTAGGTCATGAACTTTGGACGAGTCAACCCACCCACTCTCATCTTCTTCTCTTTTTCCTGTAGACCAAGTCCACAGGTGTCAGTGGCTCAACCCATCTCTTTATTGCTACATTTCTCCCACTTCCACTCAACAAGTAGATCCAGGTGGTCAGCTCGCAAGCATGTTAGCCTGCTCTCAGGCTCCCCTTTAATATTCAGCCCTAGAGGGGAGTTTTCTTCATGGTTCCAGATTTTTTCCAGCTTCTGACCAAGACCCTTGGTTCTTAAGTACTCCAAAGCACTGGGTGGGGTATATCTTTTCAAAGCTTTCTTTACAGGCATGGCCTAAATACATCTAAAGATCAAATTTTAATGTCTGAAAGCAAGTTGGCTTATAAACTTTCTATTTTCATACTTCTCATATTTTTCCCAGAAACAACTGAGTAAACAGTGTAGCTTTATCTGTCTTCTGACTAGACAAAGGAGAAAAACTTCCATGAGGGAGAGGTCAAATAAACATCTACTCTCTATCTTATGATTTGTTTCTCCAGTACCCCACTCCCAAGGTGCCATATTTATTGAGGTAGTTTATTGTGCCAACCTGGCTGATAAACACATGTGGGGTTAATTGAAGGGCGGAGGGAAAAAATGGTTCCATGAGCCTTGCCTTTTGAGTTCTTGGGTCTCTTGCTTTGTGATAGGCAGACCAGGGTACAATTGCCTTAGCTAGTTCCCTGCTTCAGCTGATAAGGCTCAATTCCTGCAAGACATGCCCAAGGAGAAGCCTCATGGACCTACCCGGATGCAGCCCTGGGTGCTGCAGCACCCATGTGGAGACCCCTGCCAGTGCTGAGATGCTTACACCTTCACTGACTCGGCTTTCCTCCTGCAGTCGGTGTCATTGCGTGTGTTTTGTGAGATGGAGGAGGACTTTGTGGATTGGTGTTGGACATAAGGGTTAATGTTGGACTTGTGGGCTTGGGCAGCACTGGGTTGGGATGTTTCCTGGATGTGCACTTATACTATATATAAAACTCTCTCTTATACATATGAGTTTCTGTGGATTTATTTCTCTGAAGTACCTAGACTAATACAGATGAACAATTAGTAAAATCAGAAAAACACCTTCCTTGGCTCTCAGGAATTCACAGTAAAGTAGGGCAAAGTGGCAGGCACCAATATACTGTAGTACTCTTTCACTCAGAACAATAATATGTGGATATATAAGAGTTTAGGGGACCATGCAGAAGGGCGGAAACTTGAGGAAGACTTGAAGGAGGAAATGACATCTGAGTTGGGTTTTGTGGTGACACAGAGTTGCTTTTTTATTTTATTTAATTCCAGATGCAGATGTGTGCGTAAACAATTACAGAGGGAACAGCTGCCCAAGCCATAGACATGTGGACACATATGGCATATTGGTAGTTTGGTATAGCTAGACTACACATTTAATAAGTCCATTTGTTGTTGAAATAATGGTGACATTTGTAAAGTCAAATGATGTCAACACTTCTACCTACTACCTCTCAGTCTGCTTCACCGAAGATTCCCTTCAATTCTGAGACACTTATACCTAATCACCATTAGCCACCGGGTGTTCCCAAGGGCAATTTTCATGATTATAACGAATGCTAAGCTGGGCATCTCCGAGAGCAGTTGCATAAGCTGTTAGTGATCCTGCCTGGGAAATACTGACAAACCCTTTTGGAAATGAGCAGACTGGAAAACACGCTTACCTGGGGGCAGACTGTGGGGTCCGGTCTCTGACTCCCAAGTTCTTTGCTGTGTTCTGGACTCTGGCTCCCTGGAAGTATGGAACGCTACTGTTAGCTCCACATTGTGCTAGCAATTAGTTAACAAAGCATTCGCCATTGAATTCAAGTTACTGACCCTTTGATGTCAAGAGAAGGGACAAACCACAACCTGAACAGGTAAACATTTACGTGTTTGGACTCAAAATATGTAGTGGTTTTATTTCAAAGGCTTGATTTTTATTTTGACAACCATGTAAGTCCTGAAAAATTAGTTTGACCTAGCAGCTGCCTGTTTACCTTTTTTTAAAGTCCTAGAACAAACAGTGAAGACACAGAGAAAGGAAATAAATACCTGCTCTGTGTTGTCCGGTTCCTACTGACAGAGATTCCAGTTGAATCACCATCGCACACTTTTGTTTCTGACCTTGGCTGAATAATTAGCTATTTTAAACACAGTGGTATTTAGCAAGAAACTATTCTCTTAAGTATTCTTAAAGCAATTTTTAGACAAAGCAATTTCTAGACCATCTGCATTTCTGAAATATAAGAATTCTTCCCCAAAGTTCACAGTACAAAGATAATTTACTTTTACAATGACAACAACTTAATCTATTACATTCACAAATCAAATTAAAATTGTTGTTCAGTTACTAATGAGAATGATGTAATCCAAAGGGTCAAACACCAACTTTTTGTTTTGTTTTGTTTATGCTGAGAAAAGCTGAAGGGAAATTGTTCAAGAAACGCTGAGCCTTGAGATATTCTTCAAATCTTGAATCAAAATGATATTCTGTGGCATCTTCTAAA